CTTTTCCACATTGCTCAGCTGCTTCTGAGAATGACAGTTTAATAAATGCAGTGTTGTCTGAGAAAACTGAAATGCCTGTCATCTCCAGAAAGGTAGTTTGGGTTATTTTGTGTATTCCCTCCACCCACGCAGAAAAGGTTGCAAAGAGTCTTTTTTTTCTTCCCTGAATTGGCACTACAATCACAACTACTTGAGAAGTACAAATCTAAAAGCAAAGACTGCACTTGAATTCTATGGTTAATAAAGCTACAGACCGAGCACTTACTGAGCAGCTAATAAGGATTTGTCTCCTAGCTTCTAAAACAAAATATCTCATAACAAGGATGGCTCATACCACACCAAATCTACCCAGTAATTGCTGTAGTTTGTTTTACATAACACTTGTGAAGGAACAGAGAAGTGTTAATAACAGGGTGGAGAGAGAAAAATGGAAAGACCAACTGCTGACTCTGAGCAACTGAAATCATATACCAGAAGCCAGTAGAAATCTTAGTCAAAATACTTCAATCACCCTGTGGGCCACAGAGAGCTTATTTTAAGTTAACAAATGTAAAGAATACAGTAAGCTATTCAAGAGGAGATTATATATCTACTGCATATCTATGAAATAAATCAAAATCTAAAATAATTAAAATGTGCAATAGGGAAGTACTTTTAAAACGACACTTAAAAATACAACAAGGCATCAAGTTATGAACTGTACTTCATGAATTGAGAGTCAATACCTGAACAGTTGTAGTCATTTTCTTTATTTTCCACTTGGATGAATAAAATGGATGCTGCAGCATACTCTGCTGTGTCTGTATGTGGATGACCAAAGTCCAAGAAAGTATGGTTTATGCAACACAATTAATACAAGCAATGCCTCAGTGCCCAGTTCTGAAACAGCATCCTTCCATCCAACAAACTCATAAATTGTTCAAGATAACAAAAAGGATACCTTAAAGACTGGTCTGAAATTGCACAAATAAAGCTGAGAGTCTGTAATAGCCTAGTTCCTATGTGCTAAATGAAATCCAACCCCACTGAATTAGCAACAAAACTCCACCTGCTTTTTGTTTCTGAAATCCCACCCTACAGGATGGAAAAAGAGTTCTACGCTAGCATCGATTTCTAAAAAGCGATGTAGTGTGGATAACCAGTTACTGATTCAGTTTTGCTGAATGTTTATTAACAACACTTTTTGCTTCCTCTTCACAAGAGAAGTTACTGCGCATTCTTCTGGTATTTGTAATGCATTCTTAATTTCTCCCTCCATCTCTCCCCAGTATGTTTTACAATGACTGAGAAGGGAATGCTTTGGACCTACACTGCCTTGAACCAGAAGCAATTATCACAAAGTAACAAGCATGCCTAACTGCTTGATCCATCAAAACGCATACAAGAATGTCAGGCTAAAAACCATCCATCCCACAAAGAGAGAAACCTACAGATGCCAACTAAATGCTAATACAACCTTCTGCTTCAGAAATCAACCGCTTCCATGTCTGACTACATATGCTCAGCAGCAGTCTTCAGAGAGAAAGTACTGCTGCGTGGCACACATACCACTGAATTCCCTTCCCTAACAATCATCAGGCTCCAAGTAAGGGAGAGCTCCCACCTCACCCTGATCCCCTTTCCCACAATAGGCATTACTTGTCTGTACCATGGATTTCTTCCTTCAGGAACTACCTCAAAGGGAGCACTATTAGATACACAGGCATATCTAAACTATATTGTGAGTCATGCTGCCAAGAAACCAAAACCAGTTTTAGAACCAGTAAAGCCACCACAGGCTATAATATTTCCAGAACAGAACAGAAGCAAATACCATGGCACAGCCCTTCGCCAACACCAGCTGGTCCTCACACTTCTTTTTGCTCAGACCAACACAAAGGAGCTTTGTGTTCTCACAAGATGGTATGCAAGATTTGTTCAGAACACTGCCCACCTTCACACTATAAAAACAGACAAAAAATAGGTTCAGCTCTTCTTCTGGCTTCCCTTTGCCTTTTGCAAAGCTAATGCAGCTCCTAATTTTCCATCAGTGCTGCTGATACTGCAATGCCTATACACTGCCGACTCACACCACTCTCTCCCCCAAACAGAGGTTGTCTTTGCTGCACACACAGTTTGCAAACTGCAATCCAAATTGCAGCACAGCCCTCAGTTTTCACCCTTGCATATAGCCACTACCAAAAGCAATGAGTGCTTGCACAAACAAGAACATTTTCAAAGCAGATGGAAGACAAGAAAAAAGACTTTGGCATCTCCTGAACAGAGTTTAAATCAGGAACAGGGTAAAATCCACGCAATAAAAAAGGATGAGGAATAGTATTGGAAGATTTTCACAAGTCAAAAATTTACTTCTAAAATTAGAAGACATTATTAAATCAATGCTCAGTGTTGACTAAGTCAACTTCTAAAGCAAACAGCATTGTTATAACTTCTAGTTAGTAACAGAAGTCTGTCTGATGTTCCTTTTCTTCCTCCTAATACTATATAATGGCAAGAATGAAAGAAGACACCAGAGACAGTGCTTGACCATTTCCCTTTCCTTACAAAGAAACAAGAACTTTAAGTAAAGATCACATCTTATTTTCTAGAACCAGAACGTTATTCCAGTATGTCTTCAACTCCTGAAGTGTTGACTCAAAAGCTCAGGAACATGCAAGAAACAGGCTAATGAAGACACTTTTTATTTACAGTCATAAAATGTTTTGGGTTAGAAGGGACCTTAAAGATCATCTAATGCCTTCTCCATATCCTAGCATACAACTAGGACCTTCTACTAGCCATCACTGAAGAAATCCAATCCCTCCAAGTGTGTCTCTTCATACACTGTGTGCTCCAGCTCCCTAAACATCTTGGTGGCCCTTCACTGGATGCACAACACTGTCCTGGGCAGCCCAAAACTGGGCCCACTCTGGAGTACTGCACACAGCTCTCCAAATGCTGTCTCAAGCACCAAACGGAGCTGAACACTAACTTTTCTGGACCTGCTGGCTACACTCCTGCTAACAGGTCAGGACACAGTTAGTCCTTTTTTGCTGCAAGGGCACACCGATGACATGTTCAGCTTCTTGTCTACCTCAATGCCAAACTCTTCCTCTACAAAGCTGCTTTCCAGTCACTCTGCCCACCCCACCCTTACCACCAGCTAGTTACTCCAACCTGAGGATTTTGTATTTGCCTTTGCTCAATCTCATGTGGCTTCTCAGCCCTTTCCTCCAGTCTATCAAGGTCCATCTGAACAGCAGCATGAGCTTCTAGCCTCTCAACCACTTCCTCCAGTTTGATAGTCTGCGAGCTTGCTGAAGGTACACTGCATCCTGTCTTCCATGCCCATTAAGACATCAAATCAGAGCAGTCCTGACATGAAAACCTGAGACATGATCTGCAACCCAAGCAGTAGTAGAGCAAACCCCTTCATACGCACTTGTTGCCAAAAGCATCACTACATTGGGCAGAAAGGCAGGTGCCCTCTTCACCACCTCATTCTCACATACAGCTACTCGCAATACTTGCACTTGGTTCCAGCTTCATTAACATTCTATGAAAGAGAACATTCCAACAGATATAGTTGTAAAAATTTACTTTCACCAGAATTTGTAACCAATATTTTCATTCTATTGAACAAAAATGCAACTTCCAGAGCTCCTTAAATATACGTTTAAAAAGAAGTTACCTAATTTTAGTAAAGAATCACACTGAGTAATTTTTGCCTACCACTTCAGCAGGACTTTTTAAACATATTTATGCACACACACAAACTAAATTAAGATGTTCAATAACGGATCAGAAACTAGTAGTCAATCTCATATGCAATTAACAAAATTACCAAAGGTATTTCTGACTCAGCTACTGCAGTTGCTATTAAATTTTTAGTTCTCAATTTCAGATTCCAAATGTAAAGTTATTTCTATTTCAAAGTTATAAACAGTTCCTTTTTTAAAAAGAAAAAGAATAAATTTTTTTTTACAAAGTCTCTTCCTTCACTTTTCCTATGTTGTTTCCAATAAAATTCCAAGAGCATAAGATAGCTAGCCAAATATTAAAAAGCCTACAAAAACAGAAGTAGTTTCTGGAACACGATGCATTAGAAAAAAATAAGGTAAAGAGAAGCTAAGATTAAGCAAGTCACAAGTTCAAGCTGATACCTCATTTGTAGTCTACAAAAATAGCTGCCACAAATAAGGATTTCTGGACCAGCACTCCACTTGTCTGTGAGAAGAGCATACCTACTTCAGAGCTGAACTGCTAATTAAAGAATCGCATTGTTTCCCTAAAATAGTTCACCATTTGAATAATTCAGGTTCCAGTTTCTACTTAGACACATACAGAAAGATAAACCACAAAAAAGAAAGATGTAACTGTTCAAGGATGCCATGAGTTGATCAGGAGAAGAAACAGGCATTTTGTGAAATCAGAAATAAAACAGTTCTGGCAAAATGTCAGGAAAGAAAACCTTGCAGGTTTTCAGCAAAAGCATGCACCAAGTTTAAATGCAAGACAGAAAAAAAAAAGTGAATTAATAAAATTTACATTTCAATTTTAACTAGTTATAAGCTATACAAAGGTACTCAGGTAATAATTCGCCATTAAAACATGACAGTCCGTTTTCAGCTTCACATAGCTTTTCATTCGATACTTTTTGCATTAAGGAGATGAAACATGGCCAGTGAACCACAAGTTCGGTTGTTTTTTTGTTTTGCTTTGTTTTTCAGTTTTAGGTTGGTATGAAAATGCCTCCTCTTGTCTCATTTCAAGATATTCAAAGGAAGAGGAGAAATAACTCAACAGCTCTTCCAACTCAACAGGATCCAATCCTGTAACATTCCACCTCCATTACACCAACTGTCCCTATAGAAACAAGGATCATTCACACAGAATGGTTCAACCCTGCTCCAGCAGAAAACACATATAATGCTAAATACCTAAAGACATTTGACAGCAGCTTGACACTTCCCAAATTTACCCACAAATGCTGAATTATGCAAATTTTTTGATATTCTTACCTGTAATTTTGTATCCATATGCGGCTAGCTGTCCAGCCATATATTCACCATCTGAATTATTGTGAGAACATCCCCATGTACGGATCCAGATTTTCTGAACACCAGGAATAATGCTGTCAAGTAGAAATGAATCAAAAAGGCAACTTAAGAGAAACGAGCTTCCCCTTTAAGCCCACTGAACAGACTCAACTGTAATTCTCCAAAAACACAGTAAGCAATATCAGCTCCAGAACAGCTGCACAAGGACATCATGATTATGCAACTTTCACGTAGTGGAGTATCATGTCTGGCTGGGATGCAGTTAGCTTTCTTCATGGCCACCGACATGGTGCTGCGCTTTGGACTGGCGACTAGAACAATGTTGATAAAATACCCATGTTTTAGCTACTGCTGAGCAGTGCTTGCACAAAGTCAAAGCCTTCTTTCTCTCTTTCACACTGCACATTCCCCTGCAAGCACGCTGGGGTTATTCCACACTATGTAACATCACGATCAGCAATAAAAACTGGGAATTTATATTTCCAAAATAGCCCCTGTTCTGAGACTGGCTGGGCACTGGTCTGCTGCAGGAGGTGGTGATTCCACACCTTTCCTTCAATTATTAAACTAGCTTCATCTCAAGCCACAAGTTTGCTAGCTTTTGCTCTTCTGATTCTCTCCCACAGCCTGCTGGGGAAGGATGAAGAAGCATCTGGGTGGGTATTTAGTTGTGGGGCAGGACCAACTCACGAGAGTACCAGATAACATTTTCAGTGCTTCTTTACATTTGAGCTTGAATAAACAGTAAATCTCAGAACTGGCACAAAGCTCTTTTTAAGCAAGACAAGTATTTTTTCTGAACATATGTAAGTTCTGAATGCAGTACAGTTTCAATATTGTTTTGATACCATCCTTTCCACAATTCCCACCTCCACTATCTTCCCAGAGAAACACCTACACTTCTAAAGGGAAAATTGACTTAAAAGTCTATCTTGGGACAGGCATTTTTTAAGCGGAAAGTTGAAACCACAAAAGTAAAGACATTTGAAGAAAACAGACACACAGAATTATCTAACAATCTTAAAACAGTGGTGGAATTTCTAGACACAGAGTTATATCCTTGCCTGTCTCACGGAAAAGTGAAAGAGTGAAAGCTCTTTAATAATTTATGGCTGTCTTCTTCAGAACAGAAAAAAACACGGGTTAGGACTCCTTAAGCCAGCTCTAGAGCCATTACAAGCACCAGTTCTTGATGCCAATTCAATGACCACAGTCATTTTGATTTGTTTTTGGGTTTTGATTTATTTATTTTTTTTTATTTTTAAGAGAGTAACATGCAGAAAAGATTTTCTTGTGCTGTGACAGTTTGTGTGACAGGTTGCCTTTGTTACCTTCATTTGCATTTTACAATTTCCGCAATGGATCAGATAAAGAAAGATAAAAAGATAAAACAATTTGCAACTGGGATTTGAACATCTCATTGTTTAAAAGGTAGGTCTTCCTATATAAGTGAGTTCTCAAGCAGACTCCTTCACTGCATGTCCTGTGTAAGTTTTTGACTATTCTGGATAACACTTTTACCCAACACAAATAAGAATCATGGGAAATTTCACACACAGAGCACAGGGCTAGATTGTCTGCAACTAACACAGGTTTCACAAAGCAGACTGTAACCCCGTATTACATAATTACAAACAGGAATTCCATATTCCACAAAAAACATCTAAAAGGCAGAAGGACAGGAAAAGCATTCAAAGATTTATATGGTTTTGTTTTGTTGTTGCTGTTTTGGTTTTTGTTTTAATTTAACACAGACCCACTTTTAATATGCCCTTCTCACCTTGAAAAAAATGACGAATTCAAGGATTACAAATGCATCAGCTGTAAAGAACATCTCTCAGCAACGGCCAATACGTTTGGATACACCTCCATTGCAGTTAGTAGCTAATAAACTTTATCTCATTCTGACCTATTAAGCATCAGTTTCTCATCATCCTCACAGTTTTGTTTGTATTTCCTATTCCAGATGTCAAAAGATTACTCCAGGACTGCATTCTGAAGAGCTCAGCTTCTACTGAAGTAATTAAAAAGAAGCAATTTTTCAGAAATGCTTAAGCAACAGGAACTATTTTTCTACCCCAATTACTTCAGTAATCAATATCTCAATCATAAATATTCTCTACAAAGAGTTGTCTAGGAGAAACTTGCTTAGGGGATTATTATTCATTTTCATTATATCTTATAAACACTATTCATTTTTATACTGTATTCAGATTTTGTATTATGAGATAATGGCAACTCCCACCTTATTTTTAGAATTTGACAGTGCACATGAGATATGAAGAAGGAAGAAAGAAAGGGTTTTCCCTGTTACCCCAGGAAGAATTTACCTGTCACTTGGGGGATCATCATCTGTCTGAGTATTTTGCTGTGAGCTGCGTTTTCGCACTTTTGGAAAAACATTCTTTCTTACAAACTGCCGATCATGGGGTTTTGGATCTTGTGCTGACACAATGTCTTCAATGTCTTCAAGCACTGAATCACAGGCAGCAGGCATCTTTGAGAAGCATTAGAGAAGAATGGTATTAGCAAGCACCTGAATACAAAGTCAGGTTCTAACGAAAAGTCAGATATACATACACGTGCAATATAGCACACATGAGGGACCTTTGGCACACAATTATCCCAAGATATTTCCTGATACTGTCTTCTCCTGAGATCCCTCTGACAGGCAGGGACATGGAGACACAGAAGATACAGGGTTTTTGTTTGTTGAATAACCTGTACCATACCTTCTATTTCAAAAACCCTGCAGCTCCTTTGGCATCACATATCCAAGATGCAAGTGCTCTTGATCATGTCAGGCACTGATAATGAAATAATGAGTTCACGTTATGTGATAGGTATACTTCTGCTCACATAACATGAGAAGAATTGTGGAGACAGCATTCAAATGCCTGCACAGGAGCTTGTTGTGGACTTTTCATGCGTGTGCTGAAAATAGGTGCACAGCAGTTCAACTTGTCTTCATAGTCCATTAGAATACAAAACAACTGAAACATTCCTAGAATTCCTGACCCCCCAGGCTTTTCATCTCAATTCATTCATTCAGCACAACAGCAAAATCAAAACTCCTGTCCTCAGGTGCAAGATGTTAAACAAGCATACCCAGCTAATATAAAATATTATGATCTGACTAGTAAAATTTTAGTGATCTTTCAGCACATTAAGTTCTATTTTCCATAAGAAAGTAAATACTTTTGAACTTTTGCATGCTTCTCATCAGTAAAGGCGTTATGTATGCTCACATATCTAAATATGTATATATACGTATCTCCTAGTAAATCTCAAGATCCAGATCAGAAAAAGGTAATTTGCTAAAGTAGCCTACAAAAAAAAAGTTACTGCCTTAGTTACATACCTCACTTAATCCTTAACCAGAATTAACTCTCATTTACCACTGCAAACCTGGCTTGGCACGCGTCTCAAAAAAAAAAAAAAAAAAAAAACGTTGCACAAAACACTTCACAAAGTTCACAGAAAAAAATACAACACTGCCCTAACAGAAAGTGAAGAACGAAACAAACAAGGCTTTAATTTCTGTAAAACACATTTGGGGATCAGAAAATTCAGGCTACTGGTCTACAATATTCTTTTAGATTTTTCTCCTGAATAATTTAAGAATGTAAGAAGTAAAATGCCTGTACATTTTCCCATTATGAGTGTTTTTGTCAGTCTTGCAAAATATATTTCTAAGGAAAACTTCACACAACTTGAACCATTACATTTCTGTGTAACTTTAGCAGGAGCATAATGACATCACAGAGAAGATAAACCTGAAATTGAGACATCTAATTATTCAGCGTTCTTCTAGAAGAAAAATGCCAGGATCTTTAAAAAAGAAATGTAAAGAATAAAGAAGTTGTGAGAAGTCTTGCAATAAAGACTCTTGGTATAAGCACCTACTCTAAAAGTTTATTAGAATTCCCACTCAGAAGCACCATAATTGTGCAGACATTTATTGGCTTAATATTACTGAGTCAGCATTACCATTAAGCTACAGACATCTAGCTCAATAAACGAGTTACTGTTTTGGTCTACATAGACTTTCCACAATAGCAGTTTAAACAACAAAAACTAATGGAGGTAGAGCGAATAATGCAGAAGCTTCAGTTTACATAAAACCTAACTCCAGAGATGAACTGGCTTCCAAATTTAGACCTCTGTCTTCTCATCTAGGTGCATGCTGACTACATCTCTGAGCAAACACTTAATGATGGTAACATGTATTTCTAAAGAATGGTATTTTTAAAACAAGAAAGCTGAAGTTTTCTGCTTCAATGTCAAATATTAAATTGAACACAAATAGGATTTGACCTTACTAGAGGTCATATCACTACCTTGTCCTGCAAAGCATGCAAGTATAGGGAAAATGAGATTTTATCCACCAAGCTAAACTTTAATCCTTTTAACTGCTATACAGAAATACAGACACCAGATAAAGATGTCAGTTAAACGCTTTTTAGATGATCTTACAGGAACTGAGAACGGGATTGCAGGTAGTTTTTTGGTTTCTCAGAAAGTAACAGGACTAGAAAGAACCACTCCTACGTCTTCACTACCAATCTGTTCTGGTGCAAACAAGTGAGGGTAGATTTTCAGTTACCAGCAGGGCTTTATATGGAAATGCAAACACCAAAACACAAAATGAGGCAAGTTTATACAGTACATAACAAACAACATGGCTTAACTGTTCAGGTGCTGGCTCATCCCAAACTCCTCTTTGTGTGCCTACGCCTGCTCTAGCTCATGAAGCTCCACATCTGCTCACACTAAAGAGGAAAAAAAGAGGCGACATCCCCTACACTGCTTTATACTGCTAACAGAACATAGGAATATGTAATAGTAATCAACACAGGAAATGAAAAAAAAACATTTTGGTTTGGGTCCCCCAGTCTCTTCTCGAAACATTTCTGATACAACAGAACAGCTTGCAAAACAAATAAGCTTAGTATATTTCCGCGGCCCACAAAAGAAAGAACACAGCCAACTAAATTCATACCTTTTTAAGCACGACCGAAATCCCTTTGGATGATAAACCTGGAGAAAAAAAAAAAAAGAAAAAAAAAAAAAAAGATACAGCATGAACTACCAGAACTATCAGACAGAAAACCACGAGTGGAAGTTACCGCCCATTAAGTACTCATCCTGCCATTGCAGAAATCTGTTTTCTACTTTGACATTCTTAAAGCCTCCAGAGGATAAGATGGGGTACACCTGCTGACTGACTGACAAGCTGCAACAGTTGCCGAATTTCCCCCGTTCTTCACCCAGACTGTAATCTTCTTGTCCTTGTTTTATAGAATCATATTTTTGTGAGAGTCTGATGTATCCTTTCAGATTTCTCCTCCTCCAGATTTTTTAAGTCTTCAAACAGGAGTTTAAAATTTGGATCATAAGAAGGGAAAGGGACAGACTGACAAGAAGAACACACTTTCATAAACTTAATTTCCTTCAAGAGTTTGTTTAACAGTAAAATTTAGCTAAAGGCATTCACAACTTTTTATTATTATGGAATTTCGGAGGGCAGACTGAATCGTTCAGGACACTGGTAGAGAGGGTCCCTTGGGAGTCTGTCCTCAAGGGCAGAGGGGTCCAGGAAAGCTGGACATTCCGCAAGTAGGGAGTCTTCAAGGTGCAGAAGCAAGCTGCTCCCACGTGCCCTAAGTTGAGCCAACGAGGAAGAAGACTGGCATGGCTGAACAGGGAACTTTTGCTGTATATTTGGGAGAAAAAGAGAGTTTATGTCCTATGAGAGAAGGGACAGGCAGCTCGGGGAAGAGTACAAGGAAGTTGCCAGCATATGCAGAGAAAAAATCAGAAAGGCTAAAGCCCACCACAAGCTCAACGTGGCCGCTATGGTCAAGGATAACAAAAAATGTTTTTATAAATATATTAATGGCAAGAAGAGAGCCAAGAAGAATCTCCGTTCTTTACTGGACACAGGGGGAAACATGATTACTAAAGATAAGGAAAAGGCTGAGGTTCTTAATGCCTTCTTTACATCTGTCTTTACTAGCCAGCCCAATTATCCTTGGGGTACTCAGCCACCTGACCTGGAAGTCTGGGATGGGGAGCAGAATGCCCAGACAGTTCAGGTGCAAACAGTTATAGAGACCTGCTGCTCCACCTGGGCCATCACAAGTCCGTGGGGCCAAATGGGATCCTCCCGAGGGTGCTGAGGGAGCTGGTGGATGTGACTGATGGGCCGCTTTCCATCATCTACCAGCGGTCACGGTCATCCAGAGAGGTGCCAGATGACTGGAGACTTGCTAACGTGACACCCATCTATAAGAAGGGTGGTAAGGAGGACCTGGGGAACTTCAGGCCTGTCAGCCTGAGCTTGGTGCTAGGAAAGGTGATGGAACAGGTCATCTTGTGGGCAATCATGGGCCCAGAGAGTGGTGGTGAACGGAGTAAAATCCAGCTGGTGACCGGTCAGGAGCGGTGCTCCACAGGGGTCGGTGCTGAGGCCCATGCTCTTTAATACCTTTGCTGATGATTTGGATGAGGGAATTGAGCACACCCTTAGTTATCTGCAGTGGACACCAAGCTGGGGGTGAAGAACCGATGTGCAGGAGGGTAGGAAGGCCCTGCAGAGAGACCTGGGCAGGATGGGTGGATGGGCAGAGGCCAAGGGGATGAGGCTCAACACGGCCAAGCGCCGGGTCCTGCAGTGTGGCCACAACCACCCCACGCCGCGCCACAGGCTGGGGGCGGAGGGGCTGGGAAGCTGCGCGGAGGGAAAGACCCGGGGGTGCTGCCTGACGGGGGCCTGAACCGAGCCAGCAGCGTGCCAGGCGGCCAAAGAGGCCAGCGGCACCCCGACCTCCCCCTCCCCAGGGGGCTCCCGCCGCTAACGGCCACCAACGGCCGCTAACGGCCGCCAACCGCCCGCGCGCGCCGCTCACCTCAGCCGGGCTCCGCCATCACGGCGCGGCCGCCCCGCCCACACCGCCAGCCGCCGCGCGCGGGTGGGAGGGGCCGCGACGGCGGCCGGCGGAGGGCAAAAGAGTGCGGCGGGGCGCGGCCGCCCTGAGGGCGCTGCGTTTCCATCACCCTTAAAAGCCTGACGCTGTTAGGGCTTGTGTTTGGTTTCCACTGTACACCCAAATCCAACGATATTTGGGTCTTTTCCTTTTAAATCAGTTCATACGACGTTGGTTAACACACTTAACTCTGTATGGCTGAGGTTCCTGGCGCTGTTTTTCCCCAGTCTAGCTCTAGGAGCAACCTTCCCCATCCGTATTTCGGAAAATGCGCCTCAACGCGTGTCCACACGCACCACTACATGTGGGGCTCCGAGCAGCCAGACTAAGTTTGAGATCAGTTTCCTTGCAGACCAAAGCATTACAATGCCATTGCTCTGTTTTTAATGCACACAGCCTAAAAAGTTCCTTTATATGGCACCTTTATTTTTGGGGGGGTTCCCCCCTGTGTCCTGCTTCGAATTATAAGACCTGCCATCCTTGTAATCGTCTTTCACATGTTAAGCTGCTCTCTTTACAAGCCCATCGAACCATTATTTCACTGCAGATAGCAGCTTGTAGGCCCCCTCACCTGGAGGGGAAGGGAATGAGAGCCCCAAGTGTATTCCTTAATAGGCCCACTGGTCTGCTAAAATTTGGCAACTTCTTGCTATGAATATCGCTTCCCCTCCTCCTCCTCCTTTTTCTTAAAAATGGTGCTTATTTTATGTCACTCTTATCTGGCAACATTCACTGGCAAGCAAACAATAAAAACAACAACAAAAAAGATAATAACAACAAAGTAATGGGAGACATTTGAAAAGGAAAACTGGGATAGAAAGGAAGAAGCACTTAACTGGAATCAATCTTTACTACCAAATCATTCTAGGCAGGACTAAGGCACTCTTAATATCATCTAGCCTTATGATAAAGTCATGGTTACAGTTTAACATACACTTGCCTTCATGATTGATCCTTGTTTAAACACGCATGTACTTTGCAGAGATACTCTCCAGTGAGACACCGTGATGTGTAGCTCATCATTTTTGCAGCATTTTTAGCCCAGAAGATAATTATCTTAAAATCAGTAGATGTGTTAATCTATTTTAGACATCCTCCTTCACAGTACGGTGTAAGTAGTCCTTGGTATGTCAGTACATAGTGATATATGTATTACCAATCTTTGTATATTAACTGCTTTCCTAGTAGGGTTAGGGATTCTCTTCCCTTTCCAGTTTCCTGTGTTTTTTATTTTATTATTTTTATATAGTTATTTCATTTGCAGTCCTTGAATTAAACTTTTCTATTCTGGGATCACTGCCCTACCCCACAGTTATCTTGACTAGCCAAGTGTTAGTTAGCCCTGTGGTTAAACAAAACTGGGCAGACATCAGCGCTATTTTGTGGTCGACCAAAAGAGCAGAGCATAGATAGCCTGCGAGACCTATCCAAAATCTCCAGATGGCCAAGATTCACAGGACGGTATTTATTAAGGGGAGGCAGGGAGCTCCCAGAGCAGCTCCCGGGTAGGAATAACAGCAGCTCTCTGCGAGTCCCATACCTAGTGACAGAAATAGGCCATGCTGATCAGTTTCAGCATGATCCGGCAGAGCCCTTACTTTGTCCCACTGCCAAGAATTCGTAATATCAAGCAGCCCTTGTGCCAGCACAGTCCTATTCAGTCCTAGGATGTAGCCACAACATGGAGGGAACCCTATAAGTGCTTTTGAAGCTTGCAAGTCTCAATTGCTTTTGTAGCATATTCATAAAAAGTGATCAAGCTGCACAGAGGCTGCTGGTAGTGCCCCAGCAGGTGGCAAGGGAACCAGATGACTGTGGTAAGAAAGCTTAGCTATGGCCACCTGGGAAAGTTGCTTTTTAAGAGACAGCAGCTGGAAGCCCCAGCAATGACCTTGAGAAGACTGGCAATATAGTTTCAGTCCCCGAGTTCCCCAAAAAAAGCTTTAGAAGATGTCCTTCCTAGACGGCCTGCGTAGCTTACTTCCTGCTCCCCAGGGGTGATGGACTCCGACTCCAGCCTCAGCCTTACCATCTAAAGTCATTCTGGGTTTTGCAGAAATAGGTACACGTTTTGGAAATACAAAAACTACTAGGAAAGTGAAATACAAAACTCAGGTTTAGCTCAGGGTTGGAAGAAGATACACCCTTAGTTGTTCTAGAGTACCTCAACTAATGGCCTTATGGAAGGGAAGCAGCCAGGGAAGTGAGGGCCCAAAGCTTTTTGATAACCTTTTTCTCTGATCACTATGATGCAGCGCTGGGTGGAGGAGTAAGCAGGAAAGCATGCAGGAACGAAATGGTGACCTCTCCAGGAGTAAACTCCTCTATGTGAAGGAATGTATAGCTGCCCTTCAGTCAGTCCAGTTCTGACAGATTTCTCAGAATCCTTTTTCCATCTGCTGGCAGCTAAGAAATGCAGCAGATGTAGGCCACAACAGTGCCTACCTGAAACTAATATTTGTATGCTGAGTAATGTTGAAGCACACTGTGCTAGCTCAGAGGAGCAGAAGGGAGTATTTTAACTGTTTACCTGCAGCTCAACACATCTTAAACTATGTAGAAAGCAGAAGCAAGAGGAAAGAGAAAAGAAAAACAGCAATCAGAAGCTAGGGGCAAATTAAAAAGTGCTTATGGCAGCTATAGATCAGAGAAACAGAATGGGTCAGGGAGCTATGACAGGAAGGACAAAAAGAAGACATTTATTGTCATCACTGCTATAAACAGCTCAGAGAAAGCGGTCCTTCTGGCCCTCTTACTGTTTATTGGGAATACAGAATAACTGAGGATCTTCTCTGTAGTCTTCCCTTCAGTATTGCTATGTGCAGAGTACAGACAAGGGTATAAAGAGGTGAAATTGTTGCTTTCTCCTTGCGTGTAGGAAAGATGAAAAAACACACTTGACTTGCTCAGAAGTATAACACTTAATCAAGGAAACCATGTTACTGTGATTTTTATGATCCTGATACTTTTTTTTTTTTTTTTCCTCTCAGAATTTATTGGCCATGCATCACCAAGACCAGAAAGATGGAACAAGTAAATGTGCATCTGGTGCAGTACTATTGGAGATGACTCACTAATAAGCAGAACTCTTTTGTTAAAGCTACTAGTAAGTGACACTTCTGGACAACTATCTGGAGGAAAGCTAACATCCTCAACAATTTCCGTCATGTTACTTAATTTAGAAAAATTAAGTCTCTATGAAATTTCCAAGAATAAACCTATACTACCTACCTCAATTTCTGGATCTCCTACTGTTTTTCTTTACACATGTCCTATTTTGTTCTTGTTTCAGTCTGGCTTGATAACCACAGAATTCATTGTTAGCATGATTTCAAAAAAAAAAAAAAAAAAAGGATTTGAAACATAGCTGGTGTCAAATGTGTGAGCAGCATGAATAATGAAAATACGAACAGCTAGATTTCAAGAAAAAGTATGATAGGCACCAAAAGTAGGAATAATTTTTAAAAGTAGTATACAATTCTAAACTCTTTAAAAAATCCTTTTTATTGATTCATTACCATACAAAATTTATTCAAATTACATCCATTTGAAGTGGTAAGATCACAGCTAGAGAACAGGTCATCCTTTAATAAATCTATTTACAAAACTCACCATAAAAGCTTTTTTTGTTCTTTTTTTTTTTTTTTTTACAGTATGTTACAGTTTTTTTAAACTAGCATACAATGCAAAGCTAAATTAGATTAGTATTTTGCCCACACACATTGGGACAAGTGTTTAATTTGTACAAAAAAAAAAAAAAGATGGTCTGCATTAGTCTTCATTTTCTTTTCCCCCTCAAAAGTGCCCCTTTGTCTCACAAATCTTCATGCTCACACAACTTTTACTTTCCTCTTCCACAAGACGAAAACTTTAAATACTACAATTTTATTTACAGATCCACATCTAAAAAAACTCTTAAAAAATTACAAACCAGCTAGAAAATATTCTGGCAGTGTTTACAAATTAATTCTATTATACAAAACTGCTAGATAACTAAAGTGTGAGTTGAAACATATATCAACTTAAATACAACTGCTGAATGATCTATGCACACATTTGTACATATAAACACACACTTAACACTGTTTAACAGTTCTTTATGTGTTGCCCTTTATACATTTGTTATATTCCAAAACTCACACAGTCATACAGTTTTCTTATTAGTACTGTGACTTCTTGCCTTTTCATGTGTGAGCTTTCATAGCAGCAACTCAAATGGTACCAGAAAACCTGCATACATAATATTCTACTACAGTACAAATAGTACTAATTTTCTGAGTATGTCAGATAAGCACAACGGTAATGCAAACAAAAAGGATTATATGGGCATCATCTAATCAACATTACATTAATTTAGCCCAGAACATGGCAACATATTTTACACTCAAAAAAAAAAAATTATTTAAGACTTCTTAGAATTCCTCTCACTTTCAAAAAAATAAATATTGGTATTATACTATACTACCAAAGATCTTCAAAAAATAAATGCAATTCAGTTGATGTGGTACTTACAGTTATGTACTTTGGAAAAAAAAAAAATTAGTTCCATTTTGCTGGCGAAGAGAATTATAAAAAGCTGTAAGCAGAGGAAGCTAACCCACTGAGATAAATATGATATATTGAACAAACAAAGCTTGGCATAAGTGTTTTCCATAGAGGGAAAAACCCACAGTGCATCTCTAGTAGGCACTTAACACAAAGCCCCACTTAGTACCACAAAAATTTATGTACCAGTTCTAATGCACACTGGGGGCAGTAAAATTGAACTGTGCATCTTCGTTCTAGTTTAAAAAAACAACCAACAAAAACTACTTTCACACACACACACAAGCATTTTAAAAATCTGTGATTACTATGAGAAGTGGCAGAACTTTATACTTTTCAATATTTGCAATATACACTACATTTACAGTGTATTTTTTATTAAAAGCTTTTAAGGACATAAGTATTTGACCTCATAATGAGACATATACACTGCTCAAAATGAGCATTATGACAGCAATTTAAACATTCCCACAAGTAGC